GATGTGAACAGTACATTTCGGTAGCGGGTAGAAGGAAATTTGTGCACCCACCCCCTTGCCCGTTTTCTTATGCTTTCCCTAATACAGACTTGTGTGTGTTTTGATGAATCGCAACGATCTGAACCCATCGGTCACGACAACACGGACAGACAACCTAGGTTCGAAGAGGCTTCCAATTGCAAACGACGCAGCGGTCTAATAAGCTAGGCTACGCATTTAGTCCTGCGACCTCAAAGTAACCTACTATCAAGGTCACGGAGACTGCGGTGTCACATTTATTGGTCAAATGTCTAGTAAACACTTCATACATGTCGAGCGCGCTGACTTGATCGTCGGAAATAAATAATACCAATTGGGTGGGTATGCCAACGTCATGAGCCAAACAAAGTTCCAATATCGATGAGATCAACCATGCTATTCATTTTGAGGAGAGGTTGAATGTTTACACCACCACCACCACTACCCCCCCCCCCCCCCCCGCCCCACTCCATTGCCCAACCGTGAATGAATCAGTTAGCGTGTATACCTATTCGTTCAGTCGGTTTCCAACCGAAACTAACCTCAGTTGTTTTCACTGCTATCCCTAACATGTGCGTGCACACGCGCGCGCGGACATACACAGACGTACTCATTCAGTCCCTTCAGCTTTCCATCATTATTCGCGCTGCTCTAAGATCCTAGCGATTGACAAGCCCTTGTCAATGTAATTAACTTGAGTTCTAGTCAACCTGGGATTGTTCGGTCTTGCCCCGAGGGTTGCACAAAAATAGAAAGTTTACTGCTCTCTTTACTGAGCTACCCACTGGTGCTTCCAGTCGGATGGCACTGTCTGTGTGGTGCGGCATTAGGAACGTTGTCGAAGTATTGGTCACTGCAATGATACCTGTGTGCCTTGTAAAGTGTCACTCTTCCTCGGGACGCAGCTTTTTCTAACGCGATATTTTTGAATTGGTTAGCAATGCCAAAGACAGGCGGGACCCGTGATCGAATAGCGAACAAATTAATGTAAAGTTGGAAATTTCGTCCAAAAAGGAAATGTGTTGTCCCCGGTTCGTACCACAATTACCTGACCTGCTTACTCATCCTCGACACGTGGAGTCTGCAAATGTGTATTGCGTTCCATCGTGTTTCTTGCTCTTTTGTATTATGTTCAGGATTGATTCTACCTCGGGGTATTGATTGCCAATAAAATGAACTTTATCATCCCGTCTCGTTTGCCACGAAGATGTAAAAATCGCTGATTTAAAAACAAAAATAAATGAGACTTTTTTTGGTTTAACTTCCCGAACTGTTCCCTGTCCACTCTGTTCAGGTCACTCCACAGACAGTCGCGCACATGACCGATCTGAAGGAGTCCTCGAGAGCGAATCTGGCCAGTCCAGAATTGGTGAGCAATAGTTCAGACGAGCAGGAAGAGAATTCCAATTCCAGTTCAGATGAGGAGCAGAAATGCAACGGGGAATCGCCCACACGGCGTCGCTCGTCACTGCACAATCTGCGATTTCGTGCACAAAAACATCTGGTCGGTCGAATGGTCACCAATCGCCAGTCCATCAAACCTCTGATTGGAAAGAAAGCGTACACCGCATTGAAACAATTCGAACTGTTGCTCAAATCGCACATGTCCAGTTCCAAAGACGTGAAAGCCCTGATCCGGTCCGTGGTAAAAACTATCGGCAAACTGGGTGTGGTGGCAAAACAGAACACATTGACAGAGAACCAAATGTCCCTTGCCCGGACCGCGAAACAACAGTTCAACACCGTCGCCCTGACAGTGATCAGTTTTGTGCGAACCGATTACACGTACAATCGAGGCTATTTGAGCCAGTTACTTCGGGACTGTGAACAAACCGTATGTAAATGTGTCGTGGAGACTCTGAGCTCAAAATCCGTGGACCGTATAAACTTTGTGTTTGATACACTGTGTGATCCAACCCTGATGGACAATGTATTCAGTTTGAGTGCAAAAGCGGAACAAAGGAAACACCTGGTGGATTTGACCGAATCACTCGAGATCATGATTGCGTCATCACGCCGCACGTGACGTGTCATGGACCACGTCAGAGTGTTACTTTTCATACAAAAACATCCATCAAGCACCACTGTTCAGTGGTCAGCGTGAACTGAGTCCCTGTGGACGGGACTCTCTTGCTCTCCTCTCGTTGATTCAAATTACCGGTTTTTGTACAATCTTGATTCACTTCAGTCTATCCGTCTTACCTCATTCCCTCTCGACCCCTCCCTCCACCCATTACTACCAAAGCATACCTGTCATTTATTTCACCACGAGCAAACAAACACTCTCAGGGCTCCGACGACCGTGTCGGCCGTCTTGATTGTTTTTTCTTTAGTTACATTGTGTTGAAGCATATTCTTGCCACTTTTCTTCGATTATTTCCCGGAATTTTCATGTGAAACTCCTGTGCAATCACAATTTTCAAGACAAATGTTTTATCATTCGGGGATAATAGTCGGAGGGGGTGATGAATGTGAATGAAATAAAACTTGTTGAGTGGCCACAGAACAAGTTTTCGGATGGCGATCCAGGTCAACCACAATTAGCCCTTATTACAATAGTACTATATGAGCTTACTTGTCCATATTTTGCTGTGAAGCTGCACACAAATGGTCACACCGGACACAAAAACGGGTGGAAATATGTTTGATATTTTTCTAGACAATCATATGTAAATCAAGAATGGATCGTAAAGCAAACGGATAGAAAAGAACCGAAATAAACGGAATTGATCGTTGTGCTACTAAGATTCTGATGAGACGCATCTGAAACAATACTCGGTGTAAAGCAAAACACAATCCAAAGGTGGTACTGCACAGCCACGATAAACAATTACACGGGATTGAATCAGTCGGTATCGTGTTGATGGGTGGCGTGCAGTAGGTGCTCACTGAATGTTCGAAAGGGCCGAAAAACACCGCTAATTGAGCAGTCGAGCTTGTTGCTCAATGGGCCCCCTCGCATTTGTTGTCTTGTGCAACACGATAATTGATCTTTCTTTCCCCCTCTCTGTCTGTCTGTCTGATCAACCAAGTGTAAATGTTCCTGTCAAATCTTTTAAACTGCCGATCGATAATCGTATCAATTGCTTCGCCTTCATCTGCCTGTGGGATGCACACATCCTAAAGAGGTACTATGGCGAAACGTCCGGTGTTCCTTGTTGAGACATCGACGGCTGATTATTTATGTTATCAATAAATTCAGTTAGACGTGTCGGCTTTGTGCGTGTGTGCTTGAATTACTCATTTAATTTCGGGCCAAGAACGGATAATCTTTTTATCTTCCAAATGTGGAATACCGTTTAATCTATCTGTATGCTCATTTGGATGGACGTGTCGATGGATTGAACGTCAGAAAATGAAAACCTCTTTACCGGTTCGGTAAAAAGGTTTATGTCTGCAAGCCAGGAATAGTGAAAAGAAAAATCATGCAAGCTCGTAGTGAATTACACGTCAGATCACAACACAAGGTAGCTACTACACCTTATGACCATGAATAAATTAGACTCAGTCCATGCCTGGTCGTAAATTATCATCGTCTAAGAGAGAGAGCGAGTGAAAGGCTGCATTTCAGAATGAGCGACTGTGCCAAGGCACCCGGTATCCATGTACGCATGATGCATTGTGCACTCTGGTCCAAAATGTAGACAATCTGCCTGGCACAGGATGATCCGAGTGACTGGAAAACTCAATTTACCACAAAAAAACAATTGATTTAATTTATTGCTTCTGGGCAACATCCGACGGGGCCTTTCAATCTGGCCGTGTTATCATTAACTCTTTCCGTTGTCTGTTACCGCTGGAGATATTTTCGTATCAATTACTGTGATTTCAATAACTGCCTAAAAGTCTCGCTCTATTCAACCTCCATCCGAGTATCTATGGAAAATATCAGTGATTCTTCTTCAACGTGTGAAAAATGAAGCTGAAAGGATTACAAGAAATGCAATTAGCAAACGGAGAAAACATCGTGCTGACTGAAAGGATTCACTTAAGCACAGGAATGTAAAGACCATTGACTCTACTACCAATTTGTGGTCGAATATCTGCTCCATTCTTGAGCGTCTTAATTTTACTACAGGGAGTACTCCAAAATTTACGTGTTACTTGTTCAAGAATCCTGGCCACAAGAATGCTTCGAGGACGAACTAATTGGGATTTGATGGTTTACATTTATTTCATGTAAGTAGTCCACCGGGAAGGAAAACACAAGGTAGAGGTGTCATCACATATGTGCGCCAGTCGTAAATCCATGTTTATTGACTGTACACAAAACATCTCTCGCATTTCTGTGGAATATAAATCGCGTTCTCTTCTGCACCATTCTTTGATCATCATTTCCAATCGGCACATCACTCCTGACTGTAATCCTGATGAGTTATCTACCGCCTTGGATACATTTTATCCAATTATGCTGGAGAAGGCTGCCACATCGTTTTCCTCGTTGCTAATGATTTAAACAGATCGGTTGTCTCTTGAGAACATTGCTAGCTTCTTCACTAGGAGTAATGCCCCTTTAGAACACTTTTTTGTAATGAGCCATCTTTCTTCTTGCCTCCAATCGTGCACCAGTAGTCAGTTCTTACCACTGCGTGGTTAAAATTCAGTCCCGATCAACGGTAAATGCAATCAACAAGTCTTTACGAAGAACATTGCAAGTATATGGCAACATCGTTAGCCCAAATTGATGAACTTGGAATCACTGGTTGAGGTGTTCGATCTTCATGTTCCAATTTTGGGGGGAAACTTCACAAATTATCTCAACTTTTGAGATGGTGTGTTGTCATCAAGTTAGGATCACCTACAGCTGGGAGAGAAAATCCCTTGCTTCAGAGATAAGCTGACAGTAAATCTGCCAACTTTAATATCAGGAGCAAGATAGTTAATGGTAGGACGGAGCTAAAGCAACCCGTCCGATCGCGCACGCAGGCTCGCAAAACGCCATACAAGATGAGCCCGATTGGAACAAATCAGTCACTTTTTGTCCAGTCGATCAATCGATCAATCGATATGTCATGGACGCAATCTGATTGATTTGTGCGTCACTGCACCGTTCTCGTCTGAGTGATTAGTTCTATATATTTGTGTATCGAAATCTAATCAAAAAAGAGACACTGACTGTTGTTTGAAGCTGTGTTCTCTTTCCGCGTTATCGTTGGGGGTTAAGCAAGAATCACTCGTGTCATGAGTCCGTCTAAGCCGAACACAACAGCTTTTCTCGATCAATGGTGTAAATATCTTGCTGGGGTACAAGTTGTGACGTCAACTATGGAACGGACTGAAGTTGCTCTGCGGTCGTTCATCTCGACCGATTACTGCCAGCAGTGGGATCAACAGGTATTTCTCTATCATGAGCAATTATGTGCAAGCGTTTTTTCTCTTTGGATGCGGTTGCCTGTCTCACATATTCCATTAACATCCACAATCGACCGAAACCAAAAAAACAGTTCATTCTTCATTCTTGGACCATATAAACTCATTTGATTCGGCCCACAGCAACACCTTGTGGACAGCAACACAATCGATTGTCAAATCGGTTGGGTTGAATTCATGGCTATTTTAATGACCGACGCCAGTCTATAAGTATTAACGGTATCAAGTCTTCCAAAATCTTCCATTCACCTCAACTGCTTTCGAAATTTATGTATCTTGACGACGTAGTGGTTGCTGATGCATGCAACAACCACAACCCTTTCAGCAAACACATTCAGTCACACGTTTGGAGTGGAAAGGCGAATCGATCGTTCTAACGAACGAATAAATATCTGACTGCAAGGCTTCACTGTTAGCCATAGTATA